TGTGGGCAACTCGGAAAACCTGTTTAGGAAACTCAGTGTGTTTGGGGTTAATTCAGACAAGCGACTGCGTCGTAATTTATGAGCCGTGATGGGCGACAGGAGTATGTTTAAAAAAAATCTAGTTCGCCTCTTCTGTACAGCGTTCCACTAACTGTTAACTAAATCGGAAGGTACTTGATGTCTTTAAATCAGCTCAAGACAAAAAGACATCTGGTGGACCGGTGTGTGCACTGTTTCAAGAAGAGGATGATTTTTCCGTGGAACAGGTGCAGCGTTATTCCAGTGTGTTGACAATCGTTATTTTGTTGGTGGTCGGTTGGCATTCATTTTAGAGGGAAGTGGGACAACGCAGCACCACTAATTTCTTCAGGACAAAACAAGGTCAGAGGCGGGTTTGTATACACAGTGACCTCACACAAGCCTTCCAATCATTTTCTCTCTTTTGTTTTCACATGTGGCAGAGCTGCGGTCCACCCCGGGAACGGAGTGCACACAAGCGGATAATTGACAGCAGCTAAGTTTAAGTACCTGGTGCGTGTGTGCAACCCGGCATTTCACGTCGTTGTCCCACTACATGTGCGTATTCAGGCGGCCTAAACCAAATTCTACCTGCTCAAACTGGTTCGCTAGTGTACACAAACTACTGATTCTCTTTCATCAGGACGATGAGTGTCCGCTAAATGTCGAAACAATCGACGCACGGCAACTGTAACAACATGTGCAGTAGAACCTCCGAAGTTGGCCACTCTGAATTTACTAATATTTTTATGGATCCAAACCTCTGCATGTTGAAAATCTCTATGTTGACCACTTCGGCTCAGTCTCTTGAGTGGAGGTTTTATTGTATTTCAGTTTATATGTTCGTATGCTTCTCTTAAAGGTCTTGACGACCAGGTTGTGGGCTTTCGTTTAGTGGCGGGTTGTTTGTATTCATACTGTTAAGAGAAGTAACGCTGTCATGTTTCAGGGGGTATCATTCCAACCTTAGTTATTCAGGTCCATTCAAGCCTGCTACGACTACTGATACTGGGTGGCAAATGCACATGAAGGCGTTTACCAGACAAGCCCAAAATCCCACGCGAAAATCCGCTGAGCACAACGTGTCCGGAGTTAACGCAAGATTCCGGAAGAGCTTACAAGCAGAGCGTCGGTTACTGCTTCGACTATTTAACGAACATCTGATCACAAAAGCGGCACATGAGGTTTTTAGTTTTTCTAGATCTGTACCAAAATACTCTCTCTGTATTTCTCTCGCAATGCGGTAAACGCTTTTGGACAGGGACAGTTTCAAGTAACAAACAAGAATTATAATCGAGGAGTGGTTCGCGTTGCTGCATCCAGCATATCAGAGCCCGAAAAAGTGTTATGGTTGCCTCCCAAAGCATAAAACCGTGCAGTCGCACTTCAGATGTGGTAGACTTAAGTACGAAATATGGACAGTACATGAAGCTAAAGTTACCATGTTTATCACGTGCTGGATAACATGAACATTTCGTTGGAATTTTGACAAGAGGTCTCCAGAGCTCTTCTATGAGCAGATGTTGAGAGGGAGTACGCACTCCTGGACCGTTCCGTTGGCACTTGCGCTTAGTTGCACCTGAACCACTGTTGGGCCGATGTACCTCATCGGAAAGTAGCAAGCTTTATTACAAATCATGAGGAAGCATAAAAATAAACTTGTCAACAATGAATTATGTCCGCGACGTGTGTTGTTCGTCCCTCATTTGAGTACACGGTATGACACCATTCACTACCCACGTGCCAAACCTCCTTTCGGAAGCGTAAGGGTGCGCATTAGGAGGGAAGATGGGTGAGGTGTAGAGACAACCGAAAAGATCGAATCCCATTATTTTCATAAAACGATATCGATCTTATTTGAGTCATTGTTTCATTGCTCCTCATCCGAACTGTATATCCGCGAATCCGTCACTGAAGAATAAAGCTATACAGTATAGCTATCACAGCACGGTCAACTGAATGTGTATGCTCATTTCAAGAGACTAAGTGGATGCTGTACGTAACACGAGCACTGCAATTTCCTGGTCACAGTGGATGCAAGGCAAAACGAATTGTTTCACACACGTCTTGCAGTCCAGATTTCGCTTCTTACTACACGCAAGGTCGTATTACGCCAGCATCGTCATCATTAGCGGTGCGTCCGCTGCTGTACGCTCGTGTGCTTGCACATGGGAACTGTCTAGAAGCTATGGCAAACCTAGATCGTCACCACGGTAACTATCATCTGTTTGTTTCGCTTCCGAGTTTCACTGTTCTACAGCCAATCACCGACACATAATGTGCGAAATGCGTGTGTGTGTGTGTGTATCGTCCATGGGATGCTGATCAATGCAGATCTGTTCCGCATGGGATGTACACCCAGCCGACACGCCTCCTATCCCACAGATCCTGATGCATTGTTGGACAATAAGCTGTTCACCGCTTCGATCAGTCGGTTGAAAACACCAGACGGTGGTAGATGCCAATGTGGGAATGTAGTTCTCTGGGCGCGTTTTGAATCGGTTTATCTCAATGTTGATGACTGGTTCCCCATGTCCAAAATTGGATTCTGAGACATCTATGCCCATTCACAAACATCTCTGCCTAACTGGAAACTGTCCCTTTTGAACAATGGTATCTAGCTAAATTTAGCAGGATGGATTATCGAGTCTCGAGACTCCCTACTAATGGAAAAAACGATGGAAGAGTAACTTACATAGTTAAAATGGGAGAATTATCGATTCATCGAACGGATAAGTTGTTAAATAGTCAAACCACCAGCCTCTCGACTACGCCAAGCTATACAGGGACTATAACCACCTACTGGGTCGATCCAATGGATCCTGCTTAGATAGTCAATAACCAACAACACAACGCAATGATCCGTTGTTCGCATCAACTTACTGATACACACAGCAGCGCCAGAAACACTTCGGTGTTGTGAACACCGCCGTCGATAGATGAACAAGAGTATCGTTTCAAAAATCTGCCACGGCCTAATTGACATTAAGAGAATCTTTCATATTTTGACCATAACTGATCGTACGATTTAACTAGTTCACTGGTAATTTTGGGAACTGGAGATAGGGGAAAGGGATATCCGATTTAGTAAACATATTGTCAGGAGATTACGAAAAGAGATGAGCGCTTGATGGCATTTATCAAAAATTAGTTATCCTTGATAAAGAATTAGTCATTTGGATGCGCAGTGAGATGTTTCACCGTTGTGATTGCGGAGGCGAATGAAGTTGACTCTGAACCTACTGTGGCAATGCGAAGCGCACCACCCAACAACCAACAGTTCCCACACAAACGCAATGTGTGTAATATTATTGGACTGTATGTTTGTGAATGATGAGATTGTACGCAACCCCCAAGCTATCTCACAGTTTATAGCTTCTGATATCACTATTTTGAAGTGTACGACGACTTTCAAATTTCAAAGTGGCGATGAGAAGGTTCAATACTGCACAAATATTTTGAACTCGTACACGCACGCACACACACACACACCATAGGCATCGCTTATGATGCAAGCAACATTCAGCTTGGATATTACGGGTGAGACGTTGATAATATTCACTGTCCGCCCTATCCGCTGGAATCGCTTCCCACAAGCTTAAGGATGAGCAACTCTTTAATATGAATTAATTTGGAAACATGTTAAAACCACAGTACACTTAACTATGGATAAACGAAATATTTCCGTTGAAATATCATGGTTCAAATTCATGGTTAAGACCATTGGGCTACGGAATATGGCAACGACCAACATGACTAAGTTGCTAGATCTGTTATAGTGCGGTTTACTCTTCACTGACTTGGATGTTAGTCCTCTCCACAAAGCATGTAGATACCTCAAGAGTATTTGGTTGTGTGACGCCAATTCTGTCAGCCGTCAGTTTCATGATACAGAATTCAAAACGATCCGTGATTTTCAGAGTTAGACTTGGAGAATCCGCTGGTGGTTGGGTTGCTACAAGCAACCTCTATTGAGACCTCGGTTCACTTGAGGTGGATCTCGGTCATTCCGATCACAAAGACCGTAAGTAAAATGGAAACATTATAGTGTTGCTCATCCCAACACTGGCACCCCAAGACCGCGGTTTCGTCCTGGTTGGGACTCCTCAGTTGGAGATAGCCTGAGTTGGGCTGGAACCCAGAGCCTAGTGACTCATGGCTGACGCCATGAGCCACTATGCCACTGAGATCCGCGAGCAACGCTTGGTACAGCGTGATTTCGCATTGCACCCACTTTTGATGATGCAACTCTGATCACACGCAACTTAACGGCTTCGATGAAATGGATATTCTCGAACCGTGTCTTCAACCATCGCTTCGGCTCAATTGATTTTTAGATTCCCGTAAACATTGTACTGCTCATTAACGACTAGAAATTGTCTCAGCCTAGACGAGGAGCCCATTATCTCAAGTGACTTCCGAAAACAGGCTAATCTCATCAGAATTTCAGACCAGTAATTACTTAACCTAGACAAAGGAACAAGATGAACGAACAAAAGGAATGGTCCAATTAATGGAGTCCTGCTAGCACTGTACGAGTGCAGGAACGGATTCAGTCAATGAGCGTAGACAGTTCGTATTCGTCCTGAGGAGCGTCAGGTATACCTTGAACAGCATGTGAAACACACTGTGCAGTATACAACATCACGATAGCACGCAATCTGAACATACGGAAAGAAGAAGACCTCTCGTCGTTGGTCTTGCACAGCATAGCTTGTACTGAGAGTTAGACTGTTAACACTGATGAGACCATGCTCCGAAAAGGCCTACTTCAACGGGTGGGCGCAATAATCGTTTGCATTACCAGACCCTTTGACTGACCCCAAAAACGCGTCAGATTCGCACTTTTTCTCCCCGGTTGGCCTCAAAGCAGAGCGACATACAGCCCAGTGGACAATATGTGGTATCAGCTTTCATCCTACCATTTTTCAGTTTTTCCAACATTTCACAGTCTAAAGTGCCTTTTTCTATCCGATCTTCAGGTTCAAACAATCAGACGAATCAGTTCACCATCATTGGAACCGTTGGAAGACATGGTCGTATGTCCAATCGACCTAAATCTGCTTGAGGATCCGCGTCTATTGCCGTGCGGACATGCATTCTGTTGTGAGTGCCTGACCAAATACATGCATCAGCTAACTGTGATCCAGGAGGGTGGCCACAAGGATGTTCCGGATGCGGAGCAGACCTTCGCCTGTCCCGTGTGTCGCCTTGTATGCGCAATACCTGCGTCCAAAAGCGCCATTGCATTTCCCAAGGCTTTCAATCATCTTGTTATTTTGGATTTTTTGCGTAAAAATCAGCTGTCAAGTTTCAAAGCGCCAAGCGCCCCTCCACTCCCGGACGGGGAGGCTACAGCAGGTCATGGCAGAGGATCCCATCGAAAGACATCCATACAAGTCAATTCACAGATGCTGAATTACATCGTCAGTGATATTGCGGCACGTGAACGCGCAGGCAAGATGGGTCCAGTGGATCGAGCGATTATTTTGGACGACGTTGATCGTCTGCTACAAAGGCTTCGAGGTCACGAAACCGTGGATTCTGGTAAAATTCAAAATGCAGTCTTACCAACCGCACCCACACGGCCATCGACTAGTCCATCTAGTTGCTCACCTACTGGGTCCAGCCGGAATTTGGGGCGATTTTATGCCTTCGAAAGTAAAGTTCGCGGTGGTGGGCGACTATCAAAGGAGAGTAACACTCACTCCGATTTGCCGAGCTACAGTAACTACCGAGACGCGGAGGCCATGCGAAGTACAATGAAAAAGAACGCTACCTATCAAGTGTTACTGAAGGGAAAGGATTGCTGCTTGATGCGACCGGGTGATCTCTTTCAACCGGTCGATATGCACGCGCTATCAGCCCCCGTGCCACCGCAAATCGTCCGTCTCACCATCACTGCAGACGAAGATCGATCCAATTTGTTTTTGTGGCAACAGAAATTTAATCCTCAAAATGGCCTATTTTCATGTCACTTCAACAAGCCAGAATCGGAGAAACCCCCTGTTGAAATCTCGGCGGCAGTGACCGTGGAAGGTATCGGGGCGTTGCGTGTTCAATTCGTTAGATTTTACAATGGACTCGCATACGTGTCCGGGATAATGCCGGCCAATCAACTGGCAACACCTCCCATGAATAATGCGCACCTCCACGAAATTGGTCTGGTAGTTTGTTGTAAGACACCGAGCTTGGAAGACGTATCGGACGACACGTCCATGATGCAGGAAGGTCACCTTGAGTCCAGCAGCGGCTTCCCCATCGTGGCAAGTTCATGCATCTTTAGACGTGATGATGTAGGTTATGAACGTCCAAGTCATCCGATACTGTTTGGTATCGATATCGATCAGAAAACGGGAGATGTCTATGTGGCTCAACCAGCCAACGCAATGATTTGCCGTTTGAGAGCAGATGACTTGACGCTCATTGATGGAACCTGGTATTTAAACGAGCCGCAGCTCTCGCCATACTTTTTGTGTTACGCAGAGGCGTCCAATCAGGTTTGGGCCACGTGTCACAAGGAGGACAGGATCGTGATTCTCGACTTAGAAAACGATGGCTTTCATCATTTCAATCCAGCCATCTCGTTTGGTATCTCCCCATCGTATATCATCTACACTTCTGATGACAGAATCGTTATGCTCGATCAGCATCAATCCCGTCTGTTTTGGATCTCGAAAACACACCAGACCATATGTGTACAATGCCTAGATGTCCAGTTCACCAGCCGCCTGAAACGTCACTTCCTTGCCATTCAGCCGATCAGTGATGCGACCACAAGGACGGTGCTCAAGGGCGCCGGAGTGAAGTGTACACCGGCCGGAGGTATATTATGTGCTCACGATTATGGATGCTCACTCATCTATCCGAAAAAACAAGCATCGCAGCGTACGCATGTGTAATTCGGTATCTTAATGCGGCAACACTTGAGTCATTCTCATGGTGCATACATATTCGGCGAGCGACCAAACGGCCGCTATCTACGCTCGGTGAATCTTTCCACTGTCACTGAACGAAGCATGGGGCACCGTTCCTATTCAAGTCATAATTTCGCTCTTCGCATTCCTTCACGCCTCTCCCTTTCACACAACCGTTCCCAATCTAATGTTTCGTCAGCTCCATTCACAAGGGCGAAACCGTGTAGTGCTCTCGTCGAGATGCGAAACGACTTGGTTGGACGTGTACACAATGGTTGCATTTAAAGGTCCAAATGAATACTCCGTTTTGCTTTTATTTACCATTGGTTATTTAGTCTGGGTTTCAGAAACAACGCATCTGTCGAAACGCAAGTCGGCTGCGGATAGGCCTCAATCTAAATTGAAGACGCGGGTTATCCAAGAGATTTTTTCCACAAGTCACTTTGACCCAGCGCAGGATCGTTATCGCTACTTAATGCAAGCACGTTGGACTAGGATTGAGAACGATACGGGTGCAGAAACGAATGTAATGTACTGTCCATGAATCCTGTACCTTAGGTTCTGGGAGAAGCTCTGTTACGTTCTTCTAGTTAGGACTAAGCGCACTTGTACCCCAAAATGAATGCATCCTCGAATTGGCAAACACGAACCACGCTGACCGTGACGTGAGTTTAGATAAGGCACATAGACGATATTGCACTAATACTACGACCAGTCTCATTAACCTGGGAAGTTCGCCCAAGTGCACATAGTCCTTCAACATGCTAGGTGAGATCCCGCGTACGACTCAGCGATTGCCATGCTACTGAATTAGTTAGAGCAAACCGAGCTGTCGAAGCTACCTAAACTAACTGCATGCTGCCAAGTGACTTTGGAGGAGCGCTTATTGGCCGCTTTGATTTGTGTCCCGTACGAGCATCGTCACATGAAGAGCCACAAGTACCGCTATCCAACGGGACCGAGTATCATTAATCGAGCCAATTCATCCAAATGAATTTAAGTTTCGTCTACAAAAATGCCTTAAAATCCCGTTTGGGTAGGCTAAGAAGACGCCGGACAGTAGCTGGGACGTTGTACACCGCAGTAAAAGCGCTCCCGTTCGAATGAAATAGAGGTGGTTCCTCTGGATCGTCCACTGGCAGTAACCACTGATCCAATTACCCATCTAAAGTGTGCAGTAAGATCAATACGTCGCTGAAAAGCGAATTATTCTGGGAAACAAAGTTAAGTATGGCGCTAAAGGTGGGGAATTCTTGAAAACAGAGATTCTCGGAGAGGAGAAAAGGACCTAATTTGTATCGAGCCGCACAAGAGACACGAAGCGGTGATGCTCGTTAGGCGACAACATTTGACTTATGTGGGGCGTTGTTTGAAGCGAGTACATGCCAGAACTATTTCATCTTGTAAAGCTCAGCTGGATGTGTTAAGATAATGCGTGTAATACGGTAGAGAGAGGTCAACACAAGAGGGCAGTGGAAAGAAAGCCGAAGCACAGATAGCGGTATGAACTAAGCATAACAACGATATCGAGCAAAACGAGTGTTGAGATGAAGCTTCACGCTAGCCACTTCGGTCGTATCTAAGTTATACCAAAAATTATTCGGAGTCACACAAACTGCCCACCGCGTGAACCTACCAACAATTGTTTAATGGAATGTTCACATACTGGAATAGGAAAGACGCTTCGATTGCATAGAAACTTCTTCATTCCGAAATTTCGGATCCCTAGTCCAGGGACGAACTAGAGTGATAGGAGTTTATGTCTTTCGGAACTGTGAGAATCTCGACGCTAGGTTAGTATCCGAACCAACGTTCCACCACAGAGGAGGCAAGTTACGGGAAAACAGAAGGAATGCAAGAAGAGCAGGTGGTAGGTAGAATGCGCCCCTCCGGTTTCCGTACTGATCATGAATGTGAAACCCCAGCATAGTCCTACAGTGATACTGTTGCGGAGCTCTGCGAAAATTGCGCAGAATTCGTCGAGCTCACCTCAGGCATACTATTACCATGCGGCGAATCAGATTGAACAAGTGACAACCGAGCCATCCTGGGAACAATGATGCCAAGTCACAGTGATCCAAATGAACTCCACTCGGGACACTAATGCAACTACTGTGCAAGCAGTGGTGAACCCAGTGAACTCTCCACATTAAGGTAACTATCATATCAATCCGCACTAAACCAGCTGAGATCTCCTCAGCACATTGCGGCAGTTGCTGCGCAAAGCCACACTGATACTGAGTTGCCCTCAGGATACTACCACTGGGTGACAACTCTTGTGTCATACCAACGTCCAACTTCCTCTATAGTTTATGCATTACAGTACTATAAGTTAGAGCAATAAATGTGAAGGCATAGAAGGCATGATTCGCCTTGGCTGAGCCAGTAAAAGGACCCTTGCTAACGACCAATCTTTTTTTCTCGTTTGGGTCTCAGTGCAGTCGGGTTAGGTTACGCTATTTTCCGTCTCCAGTTTCAGCTCGCATGTAATTCTGGCTGCTAGGTCCCGTTAGGCCGCAACGTTCCGAATTCGATTGCGTACTCCGTGCGCGTGGGGTACTACAGGTGAAGAACATCCACCTGTTCCGACGAAGAGTCAACACAGCTATGACGCGTTATAACAGATACTGCGAGAGGTTCTACTCGTCAGAGGTCGATGTGACAATGTCTAGCACCTTCTCCGAAAAGTGTACGAACTTATGGGAAGTAAACGTGAATGACGTCAGTGGTAACCGGGGTGCCGCTAGCCCAATTTCAATTGATGAGGGGGAATAAGGCGCAGCAGATGTGTCCTCAGAGATTTTCTGACACCACCTTGCAAGCCTAAATACCTACGTATTCATGATGACCACCTGTGTTTACTTACAAAGCATAGGGACTCTGGCTATTGGAAGTTCTTTCCTGTTGCAATACTCATCATTTCTGCTAAAATAAGGTCCGACAGTAGCAGATACTAAAAATCACAAAGGGGCAATTGCGAAGTGGCTGGGCAAGAACCAAATGCGTTGATATTCGCGAAGGAAACGAGGCTCAGCACAGGTTTGCGTCATCAGAACACGTGGCATGTATCGGAGTGAGATTGCGCAAACGAGCTGACCAAACATGAAGTATTGTTTTGTTAGTCAGGTGCTTTTATCTACGAAGTAATCACGAAAGCTTACCTGCTACCGATCCTGTGGAGATGAGAGTAACAATGTAGCCAACCGTAGAAACAATGGCTGGCCCGTAGCTCTAAGGATCACAAGCCTGCCTTGTAATCCGAGGGCGCAGGGACCGGGCGACCCTCGTAGTATCCTTAGCTCACGTGTGCGGCAGCGAAGCGTCAGTAGTGCGCACCGGCGTTCATGTGATGCCTTATACACACAGTGGGATCACATTGACAGGATGGCACCTCGAGTAAGGTCACATTAACCGATTGATGTATACATATGAATAGCAAAAATTTGCGTCATTGACAAGTGGAATTAAGTGCGGTCCTGCGAAATACATCGTCCAATGATGAAGAGTTCAAAAGGTCAAATATACTGACGCCAACACATGGGGGTCCATGGTATAATAACGAAGCAAATTCCCAGAAAGACAAAAATAAGGATGGTTAGACGCGTATGGCAAGTGAACAACTTCAGCACCATTGGCGGCTAAGGATGACTGTGAAGAGCGTATACAGAAGTGAAGTAGGCGAATACCCTAGGTAACACATGTATACGACAAAAGTCATCGAATAAAGATGGAAGCAATTACGTAGTTGAGTACTTATTAGCATGTTCAATACTACGACAAGCTGTACCGACGCTTCACTGCCATATGACCACCGTCAGTCGCGTGTGGGTCGAGTACACCGCTAGGTCACGCACGTCTAGTTGGATTTTAACCGGTGACTTCCGGATTACAAATGCAATCCTTTCGGCCACCGGCAGACTACTGAATAGGCAATCTCACATCGACTCCCAAATAGGGTAGAAAGTGATAAAAAACGCTAATCAGCTCCCATTACTCAGTGATGTATCCAACAGAGCTAATTGGTTTCGCGCAAACGATGAGGCGGACCGCGCGCGGCGTTGTATTTCCGAAACACGTCACTACTTTCAATTTGCGAGTAGTGATTGACTTAGATAGTTAGGTATTTGGTCAGATAGTGCTAAGCTCTACAGGGGCAACGTAGCTGGTAGGTATACGGTTTCCCGAAATCACAGTAGATAGACTCTTTCAGCACCATAAGCTTTGGAAAGGTATCATTTTTTATACTCCGGGGTTGCGAACTGGAACAGAGCACAATGTACTGAGGTGTGGGCTTCACGCAATACTGCCGAGGCACTGGGTGAATATGGTCAGTTCCCACCATCCACTGGAAACCAAACGAAACGATTGATTGGTTCACTTGCCTCTGTTATCCGATAAACCAACGGATATTTGAGAGCATTCCAAAACATGACCAACATGCAGGTGTCGAGATGTCAGACTAAGAAATAAAAACATGTTCCGGTTAAGAGGAAATTTCGAGAGCAACAGAAGTAGTACGGTCAGCAGGTGAGCAACAGTAGAGCTGGTTGAATGGTTAGTACACGTAACATACCTTTAAAGTGTTTTAGGGGCCCGCCGGAAGCACAGGCACCGCCTGTTCAAGCGTGTCTCGTATACTTCGAAAACAAACTAGTTCCTAATTTATCTCGACGTAACTTAGTTGCAGTCGGCTCATTGATTATGTGCAGGAAAGAGGACATATCAAACGGACACAGTTGTTTGGTCGGTTGCTAGATGATTCAATACCCAGTGGGCGTCTACACAGTTGCTATGGCGATGTGCGTACCCACATTGCGCAAGCCGATCTGCAGCAAGCTACGCCCAGTCCCGCTAGCGCGAAATCACATGTTCGCATACTACACCTTGGAGTAACTCATGAAGGACACACGCACCCATGTGAACTCGTATGATCGTACACCACGCTTCTCCCGCGTCATAGCGCCCCGCATGTAATTCAGAAATGTCGGTAGCCTCTATATGTAATCTGGGCTGCGCAACTATATACTCGGGTAAAAAAATTACTCTTGTTAAACGTCTGACTTCTATCCTCTCATGTGGGTTCGGAGGCCGCATGTCGTTAGGTTTTCGTCTCGTACGTGTAATACACAATTCCCCGAGACCGTGTCGTTCGTCTTGACTAGAAATGTTGTTATAAACAAGCTAGCATAACACATACAGATATCAAACGACATTCTCGTTAACTGGTAAAATGTGGAAGTAGGTGGTCAGTAGGCATGTATATGACGTACTCTGCCCGGTATTCATGGGATGGATAGCAGAAATTATCAAACTAGGGAGACAATTACCAAATTCTACGATTACTTGCGACAGTCCTTAAAGTCTAACATCATGCGGTGGTGGAATCCTAAGGCTTGTCACTAGGATAACAGGTTACAGGCTGCTATGAGTCATTCAGTAGGATGAAAACGCTGATAGGCGTAGGTTAGGTTGGTACACGCGTCAAGTACTCGTGTTCCACTAAGGCTGATACTTTTACTTTTGGAAGAAGCGGCTGTAGTGGTCAATGTTTGTCTCATTGTTAATTTTTGGGACTGAGGCTCGAATGAAACTGGTCGGTGTTATTACGAAAAACAAGTCAGCGACAGCTGCTCTGCAACATGAGGTGGATTAGATTGTCATTTTGGACAACTAAAGGGATTGCAGGTCAAGGATTTGCTGTCTTCTGTATATAGACATTTGCCACCGATAATGGCAATGAGCGCATACGGAATTACTGGAACACAGTTGGGCCGATGGACCAGTTCGACTTGCACTCCATGTAACTACCAAATTTGAGACAGATGATGAAAAAAAACCGTCGTGTTTCTGTTGCTACCGCAGTGGATAGACGGTGGTTGTGCAAATATCCAACGTTCCAGGTCTGGTCTCGGAACGATCAGTTGTCTACCGTTAGAAACGAATGGAAATAAGCTCCCGTAAGTACTATCATGTCCTAAAATGTGTTTCTGAAAACCTCAATGCATCTAATCAGTAAATATTCTCTAGTACGTTGCCAAGCACCTGACTCAGGAAGCAAATCGTGCATCTTCAAGCAGACCAAATTACGATCGAAAATTAGCCAACAAATGCGTGATGATAACTGTGTGATTCGGACTGGAAAACCACAAATTTCAAATCAAGTGATTTGTGGGACACGAAGCGTGCTAAGATGAATAAAAGCAGAAAAGTAAGGCGATAAAGTCACAGCTCGTGTACCGCTGCGAACAGTTGATGAACCTGTTCGGCGCAAGAAGTGTGGGGGATTACATTCAAACCAAGAGTGTAAGAGGAAACACAACATGTATCGGATCGACGCAAAGAAACTCGCACGTATCGCGCCGAAACCGGGTCAACCGGAGATAGTGGAAATCGCAGATAGGCTGTGGAAATCATTGGTGCCGGTTGATATGCAGTTGGAACCGAGCGTGAACAAGCACACACACACAAGTAGGAACGTAAGCCGACAAGTCAAAATGGGGTAACAATAAGTCTCTTTGTTCCAGTGAGGATGCAGAGAAGTGGAACTGGGAGAGCATGAGATGGAACACAAGTCAGACAGGTAAACAAAGATGCGAGAGAAAAGCTAAGGCGAATTTTAGTACTCAGAGAGGAATGTAGCGAGTTTGCCTAGTATGTCCAAGTGACCGAGATAGGATGCGACAATGGTCCAGTTGGTGTAAGCTGAAGTGGGCCAAAATTGTACGTTGATATGTAACACCGTCCTAGGGATTTCGGCTGCAGCGTCCGGCAAACAAGTCGTGGAATAACGCGACGACTGAGGAGTGTGGAAAGGCGTCAGAGATGTTCATCACCGAGCTAGGTAGCCTCACTGGTCACGTTAGGACAATGTGACTTCAAGAGGAGCTGAGTTTCGACCAGCCTAAAGGAAGCGTAAAGTGAGGATTCAGTAAATGAACTGCATCATACTGTCATCATAAAGTACTACAAGGTAAATCATCACAATCGTTGTTTTTGCAGATAAAAAAACCTAGAGAAAGCAACAAAAACAGATACCCTACCTGAAGAATGAAATTGCAAGAGAGGATCGTCATCGCTGGCGCTTCGCCGGGAAAACCGGCTTTAAAATGAGGTGAATATGATAACAGAGGCGTAGAGAAAAATGGCATACTCAACCACTTTGCCCAGGTTGCCACGTGATGCAACAACAATAAAGGGCCTGAATAAGTGACACGTAGCGAAGTTCGCAGGTGAACGAAAAAGAAGATAAAACGGTTGACAATGAAGTTAGGGAAGTGATAGAAGTCGATTCATCGATTGCTGAAAACGATAGGATAGTGGCCCATAGCCCATCAAAGAATAAAGAGAGTGTGCACCGCTGGTGAGATCCGAAGGCGAGAAACGACTGTTCACCGCTGCTTCGAGTGTGTGGCACCTATTTGAACAAGCGTAGCTAAGATGGATCATCCATAAAACTAAGTATTGTGAGACTACTGTAGAAGAGTAAGTAGCACTGCCTTACACAGAACCCTTCACATCTGCCTGTTACGGAATCGGTCACGCGATCCAATCATTTCTGGACTCAGACCGGCGATGTGGCTAACGAAATTGGCACCGCAACTGTAAGGCAGTAGTATCATATGCACATTACAGCGGGAGGCACAGCGCAGTAGCACATGAGATTGAAACTGGCAAGGGTTGAAAGAAACCACGGCTAATCAACACCTAGGCAGCAGTTTTACATAGGGTTAACGAAGTTTGCGGGCTTTACCCATTCTCATGCTGAAACGATGTTTTGCAGGATAATTTAGTCTCGTCATTGCATCGGAGGTGCCAATCTATGAGACCAAGCACAAGCGAAGAGAATACTATAAGAAAATCGACCAATTCAGATAGTGAAAAATAACTAGGAATAAACTCACGAAAAATTAAAGTACGAAGACTATGCCTGAAACTCTGGGTACTGTCACGTGAGCACTATGATGCGTCCCGAGGATCTGCTAGCGATCCCCAAAAGCATGAGCACGATACTCTATCCGGACTGTGCTTTCACACATACCCGATTGACCGCAGCACACAACCACTCCGTACAGCTGAATCGCTGCCATGAAGTCATGGGAGTATCATGCGCGTCTGGGTAATACATGTAGAGTAGCCCTCCTGAAGGCAAGAAGACTGGCGCGTGATCACGAAGTCATTTATTAAGATTACGCCATTTGCAATATTCCGCTTCACTGACTCATCCTTGTTATTTGCGTTCTGTCGCTGGCTCCATTCACATTGGGTTACGCTTGCCCGCAGCGTTCATTCTGTCTGTCTGTCTGTCTTGGTGGATTGTACGATTGACTCCGTTGGGCACTCGTCCATCACGCTTCTTCCCTCGGTCCAATACCACAAACTTTGGCTCAAGTGCGCACCAATACGCTCCTCACGGGTCCGCGCTTCTTCGCCTGTGCTATTAGAACCTGCTGCCACCAGATTGGTCACTTGCACATTCAGTGGATCTTTGCTGACTGTACTTGAACAGCTCGACGCGTAGGTGCGTCAAAAATTTACTGCTCGACTGACCAACCTGCTCCCAATGACATGTTCACTTTCTATCGGGCTGGATTGTATCTGTCTAGTACTCCGCGAGATGCTCGGTGGCGTTCGTTTGGTCATCTGCCTACTGGTACCATAGCGTTTCTATACACCAGCATTTCAAGCCTCCATCACAGCAGAGGTGCACAAACCCACTAAGGACACCGGATTCGAACCAAGGACGTAGATAGTCACAAGACAGACCACGAACTCAACAAGTAACCAATACGTCCTATTGGAGCTCGTGCTACTAGTCCTAACTGAAAGATTCGTGTACTCATTGCAAGTTGTAGTGCATTGAGTCTAGTTTCTGAGGAAAAGTGGTTGCAATACGTTTACTTGGAAGACAAAGTATAGTTTGGAGAAGCAGCCAGTGAGCAAGGGGGTATAGATGAGTACACTAGAAACAAAAAACCAAAATGCTAACCGGGGACAGCCGCCTTTGCGAAAATTGTTGGACAACGTTAACTAAGCTTACTGTGAGATAGTGCCTGACGCAGCGCCTGTCTAAGCCCTCAACGACTGCAGTGCATATGCTGCCAAAGAAGCCAGTGACCATGAACTTAACGCGCTACTTGGCAGTTCGGACACTGTCCCAGTCGCAAAGGGCATGAATGCACAAGTAAGTTGTTTCAGTTCTTTAGAAGCTCAGTACACACGGACTATTCGCGTAAACCTACATAGACGAGATCCGATCCACTTGAGTAAGGTACGACTCCGAGTTGTCACTTGGATGATTGTTTATCACCGGTTCAACAAGTGAATTGTTGTTGGTGCCACAATCCAGTGGCTCCATGGGGCGAAACATGATCGGTTTGTAGAAACGAGGAGAACGGGTCCATCGTAAAGTGGATGGCGGAGGTCGACCGACATTCCGTTCGCGTACTGCAGGAGTCCTGGACGGTGATCGTCTGGTCCCATTCTCAGTCTGACCAGTTGGTGAGTTGGTGCCTACGGGGGACTCCCGAGTAGTGCCAGAATGCCAATCGCCACTTGTGGAGACGGGTTGAGAGACGTTCGGTTGCTGTGGGGCATAATGATTGTAAAATAGTGTAGAGCGTAAACCAACATGAAGAGAGACAAAACTGGACCATAGGTGAAGTTATATGGACTGGTGGATGCTGATGACGAATCGTGCTCTAAAGCGATGCACGACAAGCCCAGCAAATCACACTTACAAAAAGGAGGAGAGAGACATGGAGTTCTGATACAAATGTTTTGCCTATGTAAGTTAAGGCTGTACACCCTAGCTTATCGTCAGCTGAGGGTTGACCTCATCATGGCGCACCGGATATTACATCTTAGTGATTACCCCACGTTGAGACAACTGCTACATCTGCGCACACCAAGCTGCACAAGAGGACACCGGTACAAACTTATCGTACGGAAGTTGAAGCGGGTCGCTCATCAAATCTGTTTCGAACGTAGAGTGGTGAATATCTGGAACGACCTGCCGCAGCAGCAGGTAGTAGAGGCGAACTCAGTGTCCAAATTTAAGAAGCTCCTAGACAAACACTTTGCAGAGGCAAACTTTGGAGAGCGGAACGATAAATAAGGCGTAATTGTCCAAGAGCGACGAATGATGCAGCTACAAAAAGAAAGCTCTACTCGCTGTTTCGAACCAGTATTCAGTGGAACAATAAAGCCCCCATCACACACGCACCAGAGGATGCTAACGAGCAATGTGTCCGAAACATCCGATCTATCAAGAGGCACAGCAGAGAATAGATTACACTATATGTGATCGCACAACTCAGGTCTAAGCATGAACTATTGGCTCGCCTCTATTAAGTGATTAGTGCAAACCGCAGATTCCCACGATGCTGCTCTGCACGCGCGTGTGCGTGCGTGGGCGGAGCACGTAGAAGGGAAACAAGGTACCCTGATACCGAATGGCTGAGGAAGGTGAAGGCCTGCAGCATCAAACCACAGGGTTCTGGATAGCTAAGTTCGCCTCAGGTGATGAAGCATGTTGTAATGACTAAAATTCACCTAATGAGAAATAAGATAGGAAAATAAGGGAAATTCAAAGGAGTTGATCATATAAACCAACAGAGAGTAACGGAGGATTGACATCGCCGCACCCTTTTGATAAACTGGATCATTATACCGGCCGTTCGCTTTTTACTAGGACTGTTCTAACATATCTACTGCAGACTTATCAATTTTCACTAAATGGTTTTGACATTTTCATCGATTAGACTATTTACAAGGTCATTAATACTGTTTTCGGTAGATATTTCAAAAATTTGAGATACTGTGGACATCACGCGGTTTGTCGATTTCAGTCATGTATATCCAAAAGGTATTCGTAAGGTGTCACGGTAACTTGAAGAATCATGGCCCCGATTGACAAAATGGGCTTCCACACTGTACTATGAACAGATTGCAAACACCAATGAGCAGCGACGTACAATCGGTACCTGCAGATTGGGACTGTTCAATCGAGCAACACATGCGCACGCATCATCATCATCAATACACGACAGCCGAGGGTGAAAAACACACCTCAGATAACGTGCCGCAATACAAAAAGCTTAGGGATTAAACATCATAAATAATCATAAATCCCATTATGCATTGAGTTTGAGATCGTTGTTAGAGAGGAAGGTAAAGAAGAGGGTAGGGACAAAGAGATTCACAACACAAATACCACTAAAGTCGGCTTCTAACAACGTCAACAACTGTATCCATCCAAAAGTATCCAACATCTTTCGGACCCCAACTCGGCAGTCGGGAAACACCAAGTCACGCCAAGCTTGAGGTGATGGACTTCGTTTCCTTTGACCAAGTCATTGCCTAGCCTCTCCTCCTCTTCTTCCATTCAGACCCAGGGAGCGCAAACAACGCCCGATGCGGGAACCAGTGTGCTGACATGCGCAACACGTGGCCCAGCCATCGGAGCCTGGCATGATATAACGGTGCTGAGCGGTTCACTCGCTCTCTCTGCACCAAATACGCGACGTCAAACACACCCATTGCTCAAGCAGTGTTCCCACCGTTGTGAAGACAGCAACAGCCGAACGTAACAAACCCCTTTATGTATGTCGACGTGATGGGCCGTTTCGCAACCGCACAGAAGGGCTGTACGGATGTCTGCATTGTGAACTCTATCCTTCAGAACGAGTGATATCACACCGGCGCCACAGGTTGCGGAGATCGGCAAAAGCACCTCGTTATACGGTTCGTGACCACATGTTCAGTCCCAAGGGTGCAAACACAGCCGCCAAGATATTTCAAGTGCTCGACGAATTCTAGCTGGTCCTCACTAAGGGTAAGCGCAAGAGTGGGTCCCTACCAATCTTAGAGAAGAACTTTGCATTCCAGAAGTGCAAAGCATAGCCCGAAACGATTGACAGCCAAAGCCACTTTATCTAGTCCAACTTGGAACGTTCAGCAGCTGTTATAGCTGTCGTCAGCATACTCCAAGTCAAGAAATCGGTCACCTGGGAGCAGCGACACACCTAGGTCGTCCCGGCGAACGCCGTTTTCATGACTTTGTTAAAGACGAAATTAAAGAGGAAAGGTGACAGCGGCAACTTTGTATCACACAGCTGGCGATACCGAAGGGCGGTGACAGTTTTCCGTGAGCCCTCACTCTGCACAAACTATGCACGTACAGCGACCTTACAGCATTTAAATATTTATCGGGACCCGTTTCCTTATTAGTCCGAAAGGGCACATCGATCAATCGAATCGAAAGCGCCTTTGATGTCTAGGAATACGACAACAGTGGGTCGCCAATAAACATGGCGGTGCTGGAACAACTGAGGTAATGTGAAGATGTGGTCAATGCAGCATCGATTTCCACAAAACCCGGCCTACTCATTGCGCATCTGACTTTAACGAGTGCCAGTCAGCCTATGGAGGAAGATAGAGTAAAGTAATTGAGAGGCAAATGAGATCAAACTGATTGCTTTATGACTACCGCATTCCAAACGGCAGTCTCCCTTGAACATTGGGGCTAAAGGAGTGGCTCCAGCCTGTTGGGACAATCTCCTGCTACCATAGATTCACTAGAAAGTTATTTAAATCGTCCAAAAAAGCAGGTCGCTCGAATTCGAAGGAGCTGCACAAGGTCCATCTGCTCCAGCGATCTTCATCAATTTCACCCGTCTGCGCATGAGGGCGGATCCAGCGTGACGGCTCAGGGAGTAGGCCGATGGAGAAGCTGGCAATTCTGACCGATTGAATTGCTTCTCAAAGTGTTCTGCCCAAGACTCTAAATGATATCGCAATCTGTGGATCGGCAGTCCACACACGTCACATATAGTCTCGGAGACACTAGATCTTCTGCTGCCCGTTTCTCGTATCAAACGGAATAACTTACAATGATTACCAACGGCAGCGACCATTTCCATCTCTGAGACACCATGAGACCACCAAGTTTCCCGGTCATTCTTCAGGCTAGCACGCAGTTTCACCCTGAAATCTTTGCTAGTCCCAATGTATTCGTTTACAACTGAAACACATCGGCGAGTATCCAGAAGTTCCAGAGAATGCGTAGAGATCTAATGTCCAGGTTGATAATTTGGTTTGCCACATGAAGACATGCCAGCCGCTAATGACGTCTGACGGATACACGCCCAGTAATCTTCAATTGTGTTCAGTGAGCGTTTACTCAGGTCAGGTGCTAACGTACTTCGACACGCATTCAGAACAACTGACTTCGCCAGCGGGAAAGTATCTATGCGTTCACACCGCCTTTGCAGACGTCCGCCAAAACGCACTCACAGGTCGGCGCAAACAAGGGCGTGGTCAGAGTCCACGCTCGTGCTCCAAATCGAGCGACAGTTTTGGATGCATGCTTTCCAACGGTAACTGATCATGATGTGATCGGTTTGCTTCCACTGCTGGGCAGAGGCTAGTGGGCGCCATGTCACCTTTCTGCGGGTGCTGTGTCGGGGGTTAGTGCTCGCGAGAAAGAGATGATCATATTCACACAGGTGTAGTAACCGTTCACCGTTAACATTACGGGAGCCTACACTATGTTGGCTGCCCAGATGAGGCTCATCAGTGGAGAGTTTGCAACTTGGGCATTCAGATCAACAGCTAGCACCACAGTATCCGTATATTTACTATAACGGAGGATTGCATTCAATTAGGGCATCATCAGTATGCTGGTACACAGTACAGAGGCTCCGCAGCCGTGCAACCATCACCAGTCGCACGTGGGCTAATGATACTGCGAGGGTTGTCCGGCACCTATGCAGGCTCGGACCCGCGCCCTCAGATTACAAAAGAGGCGTGTGGTATTTATGTCTACGGACCGGCGCGTTCAATTGGTGATGGAAGTCGTCTTTCACCGAATCAGCGCCACAGTTTGTGGACGCGTAGGCCGCGATGACAAACAAGCACCGTCTGTCCCCACACGACATCGATGTCTTGAATGGGCCCGCCAATCTGACAGTGCACATCCGGCTGTTCATGGGGGTCTAGTCGAGCAGGGCAGCTTCAGCCCTAGGACTCAGAACAATACGCACACCGGCTTGACCGGCATTTGAAACTGCGTTATTTCCGGCAAGCACAATGAGAAAATATCCCCGGTGTCGCATGTTAGAGACCGCAGGGTAAACACAAAACTAGAATATTGCAGACTAGTTTCTGACAGGCAACAGATATCGGCAGTGCTCAAGAAAGCACGGCTGCTTGGCCTATCTGCAACTAAGTGCGCACATAGAAGCATGCCAGTCTTAGGATAGATCAAGGACTCCAAATAGAAGCAGATGAGCTGACGTTATCCGTTTGGCTGGGGATGGGCTTGTCGACTGGACCTGAGCGATGTGCTGGGACTGCGTCTGGGTTGAAACTAAAAGGTAAACGATTACTGAACGAAGATGGAGGAGGGCCAAAAACAGGGGGATAAAAGTAAAGTTGAAAAAGGACGATGAAGATGAAAAAGCGAGGGAAGAAGACGAGAGAGTTTGAGCAGTAGTATCCAATTCCCTATCTACTTTGCTCGATGCAGCAGATAGGGCATCGTTTATTATCCGTTGCGATGGCTAGAGCATGAAGAAATAGTTT